TCAAGCATGGATCAATAAGAACCCCCAAACCAAAAATATGAGGAATAGGCCTAAAATACTTATTAAATTTGCTCTCCATTTCAAAAACCATAGGTCCAAAAGTAGCATCCAAACGATATTTATCAAAAAAATTTTGAATATTTAAAATTTGTAAAGCAGCTAAAGTAATGGTTGGATAATAACAGCCAGATAATAACATGGTAGCATCATAAAAAACTTGTAACATTTCATTTAAATTACATATAACTGTCCATTCATCTTCAGTTATTCCATAAGTGCTACCAGAACTAGAACTAGAAGCATAATAGTTTATAAAATCAGTTATAATGTCTTTATATTCTATTGCTACACTTAACATTGCATATGTGGAATTCCACCTATGGTCAACATCTTTTGGAATTAGTCTAGGCTTTACATTTTTTCTTTTACAAAATTGTTTCCATCTTTTAAGTCTTTGTTCAGAAGCACTATGCATGTAAGCAACTGTTCTAACCTTTTCTATCATGGGTTTAATTTCAGTAAATGCACTTTGAACAATTAAATTTAAAATATGACAGATGCACCTAATATGAAAAAGATCACCATGACATGGCAATGATAAAGATGATCTGATAAAATCAACAGCTACATTGTTATTACTTGCATTATCTAGTGAAAGAGAAAATATTCTTTGTGAAATTTCTAATTTCATAAGTTCTTCAATTATTAAATTTGCAACATTAGCACCAGTATGTGACTCTTCTATTGCAATAAAAGAAACAACTCTTTTAAACATTTGCCAATTTTCATCAATCCAGTGTGCTGTGATACATAAATATCCAGTTTGTGCTCTAGATGTCCAAATATCAGAAGTTAAAGAAAATTTACAGTTTAAATTTTTAAAATAAGAAATTATTTTTTCTTGTTCTTGCTGATAATATTTTAAAATATCACGTTGACAGGTTTGACGAGAAAATTTTTTAAATGCAGGATAAAAACCATCTCTAAACATATCTTCAAATTCATCATCTTCTACTAATTTAAAAGGAAGGTTTTTAAGAATGATAAACCTGATTACGCATTTCCTGGCTCTGGCAGCGTCATAGTTCCAACTACCGAGACTACCAGAAGAGGAGGATTGAGAAATCATGGATTGTCGGATATCACCTTGAGGAGGCTGGCCTTTGTTGTGTTTATCTAAATGGCGTTTGAGGTGGTTGGTGCCGCTCTTATGATGAGCTTGAAAAATCTTGCCGCACAAAGCACACTTAGCCTTCTGGGTGAGGATCCTACCGTGTTCATCCTTGGTGACGTCGATCTTCTCGTAAAAATTCCACACATCGGATCTTGGCCGTTTAGGAGCTCTTGGTGCAGATTCGTCGCCACCGGATTCGGGATTAACTTCGGTAGGAGGACTGATAGTAGGAGGACTCATAGTAGGAGGACTCAATTCAGGATCGGGAGATATGTTTTGCTCTTCATAATCAGATCCGGAAGCCATTTGGGGATTGGATTAGAAAGTATAAATAAGAGAGTATAAGAGTATAAGAGAGAGTATAAGAGTATAAGAGAGAAGAGATGAGTTTTTGGTGTGAAGAAAACAAATGAAAACCCCCCTCTATTTATAGAACCAGCCCCCTAGGTAAATGACCAAAATAACCTCACAAAATAGCCGTTTTTTGACCGTTTTTGAGGGCAAAACGGTCAAAGGGCCAATCTGACCGTTGTTACCGGGCCGGGACGGGCCGACCCGGCCACAACGGTCACTTATGTGACGCGTTGTGGCGGGCCGGGCCGGTCCGCCGTTTTGGCCAAACGGTCACTTGGTGACCGCGTTGTGGCCGGGCCGGGCCGGCCGCGGCCAGCGCGTCGTTTTCACACAAACGGTCGACGCATTGGTGACCGTTGTAGCCGGCCTCGGGCCGGGCCGGCTTTTTTCCGGCAACGGTCACCGATTTGTGACGCGGTTGCCACAACAGGGCCGGCTGCCCGGCCCGGCTGATGCCGTCGGCCCCTAACTGTAGCGCGGTAACCGGGCCAGGGCCGGGTGCTGGGCGCAGCGGCGTAAAATGGACAGCCCTATCGAGATCTATATACTCCTTAATTAATGGGAAAATGTTCTGTCAACATTTTATAGGCGATGGGAGTATTCGATGATGGAGGTGTGATTGTGATGTTGAAGATCCTAGTAGAATGACGAAGATAATTACTTTCGTAATAAAGTTTAGAATCCGATCCCAGCCCTTCTTAACCATCAAATTTCCTCGATCATGCCTACCCTCTCCTAAGCAACATATTATATCTCTTTTCTTCATTCCCTCCCCTCTGCTTCCTTTCCTTTCCTTTCATTCGTATTACTCTCAAACTGGGGAATGTTACATAAAATTTCTTGTAATGCGCAAACATTATCGTGTAATGAACGTTTTGTTGCACCCGGCGGAAGCGTGCACAAATTCACAACAAGTCGGTAAGCAACAAACAAAGAACACCACGAGCACAATTCACAATGAAACGACCAAAACCAATCATAAACACAAAGATTTACGTGGTTCGACAAATTGCCTACGTCTACGGGGATAAGATGGGGGAGATTTCACTATCTGGAGGAAAAACACAATGGGTTACAACTCTCAAACACTTCCAATAACCCTAACCAATAAGATCCCACCCCCTCTCGAAGTGCTCAAACAACTCTCTTTTCTCTGATTAAAAAACCTAACAAACGTGTTTTTATTTATATAAACATCCAAATCCAAAACATGCTAGGAAACAAATCGACCCAATAACCCGCTATCGGTCAACTGATGAAGCCTCACCAGTCGACCGGTAGGTGTTCATCGGTCGACCGACAAGACATATCGGTCGACTATCCAGTGGAATTTTTCGGTTCCTGCAATGTGCCCGTTATCGGTCGACTGATCATTGTTATCAGTCGACCGATAATGATCAGTCGACCGATGGTCCGTTATCGGTCGACTGATCATTGTTATCAGTCGACCGGTGGTCCTGCTGCTTTTTCATGCGACACATTTAATATTGAGATATAAATAAATATCAAATAACGTTGTTATTCCCATCATATATTCTTTTGTAATGTTGATAATGACTAAAAAACATCCATTCGTAAAAGTCTCCCCCCCCCCGATGTGAATATATTTATTTATTGCACAAGTTATTATGATCTTAAGAGGGACATAACATTAGTTATACTAATATAACTAATAATGGGGCATTAGTTATACTAAGCATTAGTTATACTAATGGGGTGTTAGTTAATTGGGACATTTTCATGCAAAATAGGATAATTGTTAAAATAGAATAATTTTTCGCTAGTGAAATATTTTAGTGGGATAAATAGGAATAATTTTGTGAAGCAGGATATTTTGATAAAATAACATGGGATAAATTTTTACAATCATGAAATATATATTTATGCATTTTGAAAATATAAATACTATTTATGTATTTTAAACTTACTATTATTGGTTGATAATTACTTACAAAAATGTTCTTTACTATTAAATAACTTTTGGTTAGACTATAAGATATTGACAATTATTATTATAATGATGGTGATAACCATAATAGGAAAGAAGTAAAGAAAAAAAATATTAAAAAATAAAAAATAACAAAATAAATATGAGTTCTAGTTTTTTATCACCTAGTTCCAAGCTAAAACTTAGAATAATTTGAGAGACTAGAACCCTCATTTTTGTATAGAAAAATAAATAAAGTAGGATAATTTTGTATCATTATCCCAATTCTAATTTTGTTAGGGGGGTTAGTCACCTAGAACTTAAAATTATAACTGAGATAATCTGTGGGATAAATTTTTAAAGTGTTAGTCACATAGAACTAAAACTAAAACAAAATTTTACACTGTTAGTCAAGTAGAACTTTAACAAAACTAGAATTGGGATAATGATACAAAATTATTCTTTTTTTATTTTTCTATACAAAAATAAGAGTTCTAGTCTCTCAAATTATTCCAAGTTTTAGTATGGAACTAGGTGGTAAAAAACTAGAACTCATATTTATTTTGTTATTTTTTATTTTTATATTTCTTTTTTTTTCTTTACTTCTTTCCTATTATGGTTATCACCATTATTAGACCATCATTATTATAATAATAATTGTCAATATCTTATAGTCTAACCAAAAGTTATTTAATAGTAAAGAACATTCTTGTAAGCAATTATCAACCAACAATAGTAAGTTTAAAATACATAAATAGTATTTATATTTTCAAAATGCATAAATATATATTTCATGATTGTAAAAATTTATCCCACGTTATTTTATCAAAATATCCCACTTCACAAATTTATTCCTATTTATCCCACTAAAATATCTTACTAGCGAAAAATTATTCCACTTTAACAATTATCCTATTTTGCATGAAAATGTCCCAATTAACTAACACCCCTTTTGAGTTCTACTTGACCAACACTGTAAAATTTTGTTCTAGTTTTAGTTCTATGAGATTAACACCTTAAAAATTTATCCCACAGATTATCACAGTTCTAATTTTAAGTTCTAGGTGACTAACTCCCCCTAATCAAAGACAACATGAGTGTGCCACTTTCAAATTCAAATGGATAAAGCAAAAGGTCAGAAAGATGCAAGAGTGACCTGGATTGATTCATAAAGCACGCAACTTTATTCGCCGAATACTTCTCTCCGAATTAAACCGAATATTTAACCCCTCTCTTCTTTTTTTCCTTTCCCCCTCAAAACCCTAACCCTAACCCGGAGAGAGAGGAAGGGATCCAAACCCTAACCCTCCATGGCCACAGATTCTCCATTCCGATCGCCTCTCTCCTACCTCGAGAAGGGATAGTACTTGAGGAAATTGGATGAGACTAACTTTGCGGCTCAACTTTATACGAGATTTCATATACATCTCTTCATTATTGAGGCCTTGAGGAATCCCTTTAGATTGCTTCACGTATAAGTTCCCCATACCCATCCGTTTAAGCTTTGGACCATTTAAAAATAATTTATGTTTGATTTTGCTGGGAATGGTTCTTTGCTTGATCTCGTTCTCGGTGATGGCCGCCGATAAGAACCGAGGGTGGACGCTTGATTCCTTCGATCGGTATAATGAGTACAGGTATGGTACTGGACTGAGGTGGTTTTGTGCAAGAAAATTATTTGTCAAGGGGTTTATGAAAGATTTCTATGTTGAGGTTTTTTCTCCCCACTATAGCCCCCAATCTAATATTAGTTGCAGTTTTATACGCAAATCTACAGGTAAGTTAGATTTGGAAGGTATCTAGGCAGAGAGCCCAAAATTGTTTCTTGGGTGTTTGTGAAAGAGTTATCTATGACCTGTGTGTTTGATTATGTTGTTTGCTAGCAACTAATGAGAAAGTATGAACTGTAATTTTTTTTTTTAAATCTTTGTGAAGCATAATTATGCAGGGTTGCGGACTTATCCATGCAAACCTATGTAAATATTTACAATTTATAGGCTCTAACCTTTAACCAAGTAATATGTGGATATGCAGTTATAATTAAAAGTAATCGTGTTATAAGTTATAACATTTGGAAGTTAAATGAATGATAGATTTATCTTAAAATCTCTTGGACTAGGAAAATAGTCCTTTCAATTATTTACCGAAAATAGGCCTTTCAAGCATTGATATTTCTTAAAGGGTAAATTTCACAAAACTAATATGAACTATTAGGATTTTGCACGGAGAAGACTATTTTTTTTCTGAGAAATACATCATAAAGTTTTAATTATCAAAATAACACTGCAACTTTCAGAAAACTAAAGATAAATTAAGTACTGTGACCTTTTATTCATGTTTACAAAACCATCATGAATTTCAGATATACCATGAACTTTGTCTAGACTTTAGGTATTGTCATCAACGTACCATATTGTTTTCTGATAGCATGTGGTACTTTCCGGTGATTTGAATATTTATAATTTTTTTAAAAAAAAGACAGTTTATTATATGCAAAATCTGAAATAATTCATTGTAACTTTGTGAAATTTATTATTTCTAAATCCTTTTTTTTAAGTACATGATTTGATAAGATTTGCATCTCCATTATTTTGATACCAAGTTCAAGTCCCTGTTATCGCACCCACTTCAGAGTTATGATGGGGTTTGCAATTTTATACTAATTTGATTTTGATGGTTTCAATTTCCACTTATTATTGGTGAAAAGAGCTCATGTATGAGAATATGAGATGAACAAAGCAAGAACTTTAACTTTTTTAAAAAAAGAAAAAGAAACCTCAAGGCTCTTATATCTTAATTTATGCCTTCCTTTTTGCAGGTACTGCTTGTCAGTGAATGTGATTGGATTCTTATATGCTGGGTTCCAAGCTTTTGCAGAACTGCATCATAGGGTTAATAAGAGGAATATCATCACTAAGCCCCTTGGATTTTATTTCGATTTTGCCATGGATCAGGTGAGAACTCTTATCTGGTCACATTTCATCCATGTTCTTTTTGTGAACACATTTCAATGTTGTTGTAATATTAGAATTATAAACTCACGGCACGGTTGCAAAATAGTTATTTGCACAATCTTAATAGAACTGGGTACTATCAAAACCTTACCTGTATACATGCATATAAATTTATCAATTGATTATTAAGGAACTTTTAACATAAGGAATGAGCGCATCCTACTTAGAATTCAGGCCTTAGGGACAATGTGAACCAATGGCAACCTCTTCGATAACTTTGAGCCTCAGTGACTTTGCAAGATTATTCTTTTTGAACATCGAACTTTAAATACTCCCTAATCCTTTAACGTTTAACCTTTAGAATGAAAAAGTTGAGTTGTTGGTATATGATACTGTAAAGTCGTACCTTGTCCATGCTTAAGTTTAATCAAACTAAGGGGGTTACTTTGTTGCTTGCTGAAGCTTGAAGTTCTTGGTCAGGCTAATTTAGATGTTAGAAGTAAAGGTTTAACCTTAAAGCAGAGCTCTATCAAATTTACCAATGGCGGATGGTTATTATGAAATATTGATATGTTAACATCCATTCAATTTTACAATGCTTCTAGCCTTTACAATACATAAAGGCAGCAAACTCTGAATTGAAACCTGGATTGCTCAAGTTTGTATATACGATTATTAACCCTTAGCCTTTGTCATAACTTTAGATTTTTGGTGCCGTAGAAAGAATTTTAAAAGAAAAGCAAACGTTGGTTACATGTAATGCACTCAATGTTCATGTTATTTGATTTTGATATGGCTTTCTTTTTTTGTTTTGGGTGATTATATAGATCCTAGCGTACCTTCTGATATCCGCATCATCATCTGCAACCTCTCGCACTGATTACTGGGTTACCAACTGGGGCAACGATCCATTCCCGAGCATGATCAGCGGCTCAGTCGCCATGTCTTTCTTGGCTTTCATGGCATTTGCTGTAAGCTCTCTCATCTCCGCTTACAACCTCTTCTCCTCTCGAAATCTTTAAATGCGTATCCATATTTTACGCTGAAATGTGATTTTTATGGAATTTGCAATGTTGTAAACATCATAGCTGTTTTCACGGTATAAGCACGAAAAAAAATATCGCAAAGTGTTGTAAATTTTATAATTAGTTCTTGTAGTGATTTGTTTTTCTTTCATGGCATTTGCTGTAAGCTCTCTGCGCACAACAACTTCTCCTCTCGTAGTATTTAGAGCCCATATTTATAATTTTTGCGCTTAAATTTGATTTTATGTACCGAGTGGTTTTTATGGGGTTGGCATTATTGTTAACATTGCAGCAGGTTCTCACGATGTAAACAGGAAAAAGTATTGCATAATGTTGTAAGATCTGTAATTAGTTTTTGGAATGACTTGTTTTTGTGATGCCTTAGCGGGCTGTTTCTGATTTTTTTTTTCTAATTTTATTTTTGTACTTGTAACGTGTATGTTCACCTCCTCATATTGTATTTAATTAAGTGCTATATATGTAAGTTTTATACAGCCCTAACGAGAAAAAGCGACATATGTACGCAAAAATTGCTCAGAGGATGCTATTAGTTCTACCAAGAATAAACAATAAATAATACTCAGCTCATACCATCAGATCTAATTTGATTTACTAAGTTATAAAAATAACTAAATTTAGTTTATTAGCATATGATTAGTTGTGATAAAATGTAATACGAATTTTAAATATACAAAGTACTGGGTGTGTTTGCAAACTGCAATCAAGTTTAAACATCATTTCTTTTGGGCATCGGGACTTAGGAGTCTAAATAATTTTATGATAATAAGAAGCTAACCTCTGAAAATACAGAGCCTGGCTGAAAATAAATTCATGACAGCCCATGTAATGAGCTTTAGATCTTTTAGAGACTAAGAACTAACAAATATTTTACAGAGACTGGCACTGCAAATTCATAAATAAATACACAAAAAATAGCAAATACTCTAATTCAAAGAGTAGTCCTTAGCCAGCCCAATAACATTAGAGAATGGATGCACGACGTTAGGGATTAAAATATTACAAAAAGGCATGCAGTACTTTTTAAAATTGACATTATTGTTAAGAGAAGCCAATTGTATTTGCTTCCAACATGAAAAATGAGAAGATAAAATTGACATTATTGTTAAAAGCTAGTTAGCAACTCAAATCTATTTGCTTCCAACATGAAAAATGAGAAGATAAAATTGACATTATTGTTAAGAGAAGCCAATTGTATTCACCAAGTGGCTTGTGATGAGAACACAGTTAAAAATACATAAACTTAGTTAAAAGAAATCTCAATTTTATGTTCTTTTTAAAACCATAGACCACCTTCTCTTTTTTCTTCATTTGAGTTTCATTTCGAGGATTAACACACAGCATAGACAGAAGGGTTCGTATCATAGTATGAGATCATATATATATACTTACTCATACCTTCTTGTTGCCCCATCTTCCAAAGCTCGCATCACTATGAATCCATGATCTTATTTCCAATTAGCATCTTCATGATGAAAATTTTGCCATAGTTTCATGCAACTGATGAGACTCGTATCTGATTCAGTCTGTTGAACCAAATCGAATGCAGTATCATATGAAATATATCATATTTTATAGGTACCGGATGCCAAAGAAAATGCCTCTTCAACCTCCTCACATTCTCATGCATAGAAACATACTTCCTATGAGAAACTTTCAATAGTATATCCTTCAGATTAGGTATATCTTCCTCTGCTACAACAATTGAAAACGCGCTCCAATCCAGCACTTCATCAAAAGGGAGAAGAAAATTATCGGCTATTATTACCGGAACACACTCATAATAGATAGCCTCAACGATCCTAGGGCTATTCACTTCATACCCCATAGGACAAATGCAAAACTTGCTCGATTTCATGTGCTGGATATATGAAAACTTTTTGGAGATTCGAGACGGGAGAGGGCCGTAAATTTTCATATCTTCATCCTTTCCCTGCCAGTGACTGAGAAGCACGGGTCTGACACGCCCATGCATCTGCCCAGCGAAGAATGCCAGGATTGATCGCTTGGAGACGGGTTTACCTCCCAGGTCTTTCAAGGGTTTCTTGGGGTTTTTGATGTATGTTTCTGGGAGAGAGACATCTTTTCCTCTGATGAATCCTTCGGAGAGATCAGCATTGCATAGAGCTTTGATGGTGTTTTTGCTCAGCTCTGTGTGTAGTCTCGTTTCGTAAGGTCCCTGGATATTTTGAAGAAAGTAAGACATGAAAAAACAGTATTACCGTCTTAACATGGATGACCTGATGCCTCAATGATTATAGGTCATTGAAGAACCCAAATACTTCTCTTTAATATTAATTTCTTCACAACATGCAATACTAAGAGTATGCACGATATAGATTTATGGATATTGACTTTTGAATTAAACACTAGTATGAAAATAAACCATACTCAGAATCCTCACAAGGTCCCTAACTTTTAAACGCTTCGGCTCCGTTTGGATACCATAGTGTTTTTCTTGTTTCCATGGTGTTTTCGCCAAAAACAAAACACCATGCGTTTGAAAACCATGATGTTTTTGGAGTTAAATCATCCTCAAACCAAAAACACAACACTTAATTCAAAACACCTTTTAGATGTTTTAAGTTTGGTGTTTTGATTTTGAGTTTGAGAATGTGTTAATATAATATCTAAAATAATATATTAAATGTAATTAATATAGAGTTATTATCAACATGCTTATTATATTATACTATACTATATTATAGTTCATTTAATATATTAGTAATATTTATTAAATAATATAATAAATAAAATATCTTATATAATAATATAATAACATATTAAATACCAATATTTAATATGTTAATAATGTATTATATAATAAATAAATAATAAAAATATAAATAAACTAATAGAAAATAAAAAAAAGTTATTGATAATAAATAATAATATAATAATATACTATACTATAGTATAATCACTATAATATTATTAACTTTTAAAAAATAAATTATAATAAATTAATAATATATTAGTATTTATGATATAAATAAATATTATTATTTTATGAATATATTATTTTTACATTAACATTTGTTAGCAATAAATTATTTTATTATTAAAATTATTTTACTTTATAATAAATTATATTATTTATTACATAATATATTAATATTTAATGTATTATATTGTATTTACTATACAATATGTTATTATAATAATATTATTATATTTGTAGTTTTATTAAAAATATATTATAAATATATTAATATTAATATATTATATTGTATTTACTATACAATATGTTATTAATAATATTATTACTATTGTTATGTTATTATTAAGATATGTTACTGATATATAATATTTATAATATATTTAATAAACATAACAATATAATAAGATTATTATAATAACATCATTGTATAGTAAATACAATATCAATATATTAAATATTAATATATTACGTAATAAATAATATAATTTATTAAAAGTAAAATAATTTTTAAATAAATAAATATTATTGCTAACAAATGTTAATGTAAAAATAATATATTCATAAAATAATAATATTTATTTTATATCATAATATACTAATATATTATTAAACTACTATTAATAAAATCTAACATATTAAAAACTATAATATGTTATATAATATTAAAATATTATAATATATTAATTTATTAATACACTACTAGTAATAAAATATATTAACATTATTAATAATATTATATTATATGAATAATAGTATAATATTATATTAATAATAGTAAATATTATATTAAAATAAAAATAACATTATTATCAAAATCATTAATATCAATTATAAGATTAGAAAAAATAAATAACAAATTGATATACCAAAATAATTAAATATATAATTATTTAAAAATAATATAATATAATATAACTCATTAAAGTACAATATAATATTATAATACATTATACAATATTATAGTGCATTACATTTAATACTTATAATACTATAATAATGTAAACTAAATATTATAACATTTTATTTACAATATATTTTATAATAATTAATATATAATATATTAATAATATGTTTAATACTAATGTTATAATGGATCAAACTAGTGTAATACTTAACATGGTGTTTTGAAAACATTTTAAGGTAAAAACACAACACCATGGTGTTTTTTTTACAAAAACACAATAAGGAAAACATCATGGTATCCAAACAAAACCTTCATTAATCAAATGATGTGCTCCACAATCCACTGAGTTTAGCATGTATTACATTAACTGGTGTTACCCTATATCAATTTGCCATCTGTGCATAAACAAGCAGAAATTGTCATGATATACAAAATTTTCCGTTATATAAGACCCACTGCACCAAGATATTCCGAAGGTAAGGTAAAAATTGAGGCACTTTATTAGAAGAAAGTAGTTTCAGATGCTTGTCAGGTGAGATTTAGATTTTGTCTGATACCACCTTAAGTCCACTTCACTACACTAAAATTCTAAAACCATTGGCTAATGTCAAGTGTTACAAGTTTATAATCTATCAAAAATCACATACACCGGTTTACAGAAGTATTCAGAGATATCAAATTTATATTCGATAAGACCGGAATGAAAGAAAAAGAAGCATACCCAATCATGACAAGCAACTAGAAAGTGATCTGCTCCTCTCGTCCGATTCCAGAATGGATATTTCACCGATATCCAATCCACATACTCCTTCAAGAAGATCGCTAAAGGTCTCAAACTATGCAAGCCGGGTTTATAGAGAGTAGCTTCTAACTGGCGAGAATTATACGGCAGGTAGAATAAATGGGCCTTGTTCGGGTCCTTCACAACAAATTGTGTGTTTCCCTCCATTTGTTTCATAAACCATCCTTCGGAAGCATATATACCTTTAAGCACAGGTGTGTGGAAAATGGGTCTTCGTCCATCTTGATAGATGTAGACCTTAAGTATTCTTTCCATCAGCTCGTAGCTCCTGAATACAATGCAGATCTCACCAGTTGAGACACCAACTAAAAGGACCAGGCAACCAGAGGAAATAGATGCAGAATATACATGGAGTGATGAAAAGAGGGAATACGGGAGGAGATAAGGGGAAAGGAAAGATTAGAAGACAAAATACAAATATAGTTTTCTGATTAGAAGGCGATAATAGAGTTTCCTGAATCAACGTGATTCTCCATTATATAGATTCTCCATTATAGTGTGCTAAGAAGGCTCATAGACAATTAATAACTATATATTGGAGTACGAAAGATCCATAATGAAATTATTAAATCATTAAACACTCTGTTATATGGAAAAACTCTGCATATCCCTACTCAAATCATAAAACAAAATAAAACAAAATGATCATTCACATCAAAGAATAACAACACAACAAGAACAAAATAATATAGGGGGCACAAGAAAGGCATATTTAGCTGTCTTACCTCTTAAAAACCGAAATATTTCGAAACAATGGAGCATAAAGATCAGAGTCATCTGAAACCATTGGGGCATGACTGATCTCTTTCTTTGCATACATAAGTTGCCTGTCTGCTTCGGTCAGGCTTATATGTTCCTAAGCAAATCAAGAACATTTGAAATTCTTATCAGGAAAAAAACTATATCCAAAAAATCTCCCAAATCAAGAAATAAAAGATATAAAAATCAATTTTTTTCCTTTCAAGAGATTATAAATTACCCCAAATCGACAATGAACTCGTGGATTAAAAACTATATACCTCACTCTTACTAGATGTCCCAGTGGAAGCTGGATCTACAAGGGGCGGAGAAACTATAGCAATAGACTCAGCATGCACCTACATAAGCAAAATATGCATTAAAGTCCATTTCTTGGAGCAACTGATACTTTACCAAATCATAACATAGACTCATTAAGCATTTAAATTATCTAGATCATAAACATTAAATTTCAACGGGTATCTGCAATAGAGATCTCACTAAAAGGACGTCCAGGAATTAAACAATCCACCAAAGTCATTTCCTTGCTGAATTATATTTTGTTTCATAGAGATGAATTTTTTTTGACAGTCATACCTCTTGTTGTTTGTGCAGATTCCTTATGTCACCATCACTAGATTTCACCTGATTACTCCAAAAATTCACAGTGGGAGGGAGTAGAGAAGTTTTACCAGTAAAATTGATGGTTACCTAAAAATGTGAAGAAAAAGATTATTAACTTCATGAACTTTAAGTTAAACTTGAAAATAATAATTCAAGAATAGCTTTTTATTACCATTACAACTACATTTCATATTGAATTTGAACTAAAAAGAGCAATCTTAAATGAACTTACCTCAGGTGCATCAACAATTGTATGAGAAACAGAGAACTTCCACAGATATACAAATTAAACCAAAAGACTACCAAAAAACAAAGAGACTAAATAATTCCAAAAAAAGATCAGACTATTTACCTTAGCGTCTAAAGGCCGGGCAGCTAACTTATCACTACTAGAATTTTCTCCATTTTCATCGCCAGCAACAATCAGCTCCTAAAAAGCCAAACAATATCCAATGAAATGAGAAATTTTACATTTGCATAAAATGTTACATTTTGACAATAATACCTCTTGTAGTTTGGGCAAGTTCTCTTGATCACCATCACTAGAATTCATTTGATTGCTCGAAAAAATCTCAGAGCCAGAGAGTAGAGAAGTTGCACTAGTAGAATTAAAGGATACCTAAGAATTTGGAAAAATTAAAATTCATTTCAAAGTCTTTAATGAGTAACAGAGAAAATATAACTTGAAAAAGGTGACCCCAAAATGTGATTTATTTTATTTTATGTATTTTATTTTTATTTATTTATTTTGTTGCTATTACAGTTGGATTTCACCTCAATTTTGAGATGAAAAGAACAATCTCCAAAAGAAAATTTCAAAAAAATTACCTCAGCGGCATCCAAGTTTCCATGAGAATTAGAGAACTCCTACGAAAAATAACATTAATAAAAAGAACTAACAATTTCTTTTTTTAACTATTCACCTACATTTTATCCCTAGAAATAATTATCTCCTAAAAATCCAAAATTTTATGAACCTTCAAATCTAAAGGAAGCGCCTTTGCCTCTTCACTTCTAACTGAAGAAGATTCCTACAAACATCAAACGACCAAGTCACTAGATTTTCAAAAAAGAAAAATAAAAGGTTGCAAAAATGTCACCTTTAGCTCATCACCACCAAAACCCGCCGAAACCCTAGGGCTCAGAGTCTCATCACCGCCAGGGGAGAAGAATAACCTTCCGGTGACCGGAATCGGCACCGAGAACGAGAAAACAACGGCGCGCGATCATGACTGTGACGAAGACGATGCAGCCTCTCCTACTCGACGCTGCCGTCAAAAGATCGAGCGCTTCCGCCTTCATCGTCCGGCGGTGACTATATCGCCACAAACGGCGGTAAAGGAGAGGGCGGGGATTGGTGACTAAAGCGGCAACAATCGTTAATTTACAGAAATACCCCTCTCTAGCTTGGAAAAATATGGGGCAGGTTGGCTTGATACTGGGATTATTTTGGTCATTTATGATTTTTGGTTTAATGGTAGGACATGTGTCGTTACAGTTCATAGAATAAAATGGGAAATCTTCACGCCTGGACCGAAAATTTATTTATGGGAATTTTGGCGAATAAAGGAATCCCATGGTTTTAGCGATTCAGGGGACTAGTGTAAGGCAAGTGCAAAGCACGTGGACATACATATTTTAAGTTTTAATTTTTTTATTAAATAGTAAAGTTAATAAATAAAATTATATAATAATTGTTTAAAAAATGTATGAATTAATTATTATTGTGTAGTTATTGTAATTAAATATTTTTCTAATAATGGTCACCTAGTGTTAATTTTTTTAATAAGTCTTCACTTCTAAAATTGTTCTTCCATAAAACTATTAATTCTATAAGTTCTCTTAAATATGCCCCTCTAAATTAAAACTTTTTAACTTAACTCTAAGAGGGGTGATTGGTTGGGACAAATTGGGGCCAAGTGGAAAAATTGTTCCAATGGAACAATTTTACCCCTTTGGGATATTTTGAGTAGAGGTAAAGTGGGATAATGAGATAATTTGAGCTTTTTGTTTGACAATTCATGTGAGATAATTGATGATGTGGCACCTTATTAAAACATAATTTTATTTTTTAATTACTTCTAAATTTACTTATCTAATTGGTTTAGTATATTATTTAGTATATTATTATTATATAAATATTATTTTATTTTATATTAAAATATAATATATTGTACTATACTTATAAATTACTATTATTAATTATCATATTGTATTATATGTATATTATATTAGCATCCTATAGTAATTATTAATAATTAAATAAATATAATATCGATATATTTAAATATATTTAATAATAATAATATTAACTATAATATATTTTTATTTTATACAAAAATATATTGTTATACAACAATTACTAATTAACATTATATTATATGCTACATTTATATAGATAATTAATATATAGATGAATAATATATTTAATATAATATTAAAATATATTATTTAATTTAATATATTATAATATAGGATCACGGATATAATTATTTATAAAATATTAAATATTTTATTTTATTCAATTATAATATTTTTAAATATTATGAAAATTAAAATTATATATATTTATATAATATATATATATATATATATATATATATATTAAATATATATATATATATATATATATTATATATATATATATATATATATATATATATATATAATATAAACATGATAATTATAATAATATATATTAAATTATCATGCTTGTATATAATATATTTATTATTTCAAACGTATACTATATATTATATTATATCATAATATTTTACTAATATTAGTAATTATTATATTATATTATAATAGTATGTGATATATAATAACTATAATAATATTTTATAAATTAAATATATAATAATATATGTTAATAAAATATTATATAATATTATAATAAATACGTTATACTATAATTACTAATTAATATTATATAATAATATATTACATAATACTATTAATATATGTTATTAAAATATTATATATATGTTATTAAAATATGTTATTATATAATATTATTAATATATGTTATTAAAAGTTTAATATATGTTATTATAATATTATATAATATTATAATAAATACGCTTATACTATAATTATTAATTAATATTATATAATAATATATTGCATAATATTATTAATATATGTTATTAAAATATTATATAATATTATAATAAATATGTTATACTATAATTACTATTATATAATATTATTAATATATGTTATTAAAATATAAATATATATTATATTTTATATATCATATCATATATTTATAATATAATTAGCATGTATTAGTTAAGTAATACAAAAATATTTTAAAATTAACTAAGCTACATTAATCTTGCTGGCTTTTCATACTGTTCCCTAGATAGTTACACTTGATACCTGCAATATATTGCAATAGTTACTTCTCATTATAATTATTTAATAAGGTAAATTACACTAGTCCCTTATGAATTTTCTGCCTATATAAACTTTTAAAATTACACTAAAACGTAATGACTTTTCTATTTCAAAGAAGACCCCCGATAACTTTCTGAATTTTGGAGATAACCCTATAAATTAGACCAGAAAATGGCATAAAACGATATTTTGAAAGTTATTGGGGGTTCGACAATTTATCTAAAAGGTATTGGGGGCTTTCTGCAAATGTTATTATATGTTTAATGTGATTTCAAAAGTTCATAGGGTCTATTTACTATAAAATGTTGAAAGTTCATGATAGTTTACTGTAATTTACCTTATTTAATATTATAATTCTTATTTTAAGTAATAATATTAAAATAATTATATTGTCTATATACTATAAAAATTTATCTATTTATTTTTGTAATTATTCTCTTAAATAATTTAGTACTACAAATTTTTTATAAATTTTTGTTATACTATCATTAACAACTAATATTACTATTTAATTAATATGTAGTTTTATTGTAAAAATGTTAGTTTTCAATCATTACCAAGTATACATTATTCAGTACCATGTAATAACCTTTGAGAAAATACTCTAAAAATAATATTAATTTGTTTATTTAATTTATTTAATAATATAATACTAAATTAAAAAGTATAATTTGTAATTTATGTGATATTATTAAAATAATTATGTTATTTATGCGATTCAAAATTTATTCTATTTATTTTATTGCTCATTGAATTATAGTATAATTCTTAGTAGTATTTAGTAACATATATTCTATTTATACTATTATTTTAATTATTTTATTTTAATTCATAAATAATTATTATAATAAATTCAATTGGTTACTACTAATAATTGTGTATACTTATTTTATAAATTATTTTATTTTATTATTTTTAAATAACTAATAGTTATAATATTATTGATAATTAAAATTGTTTAGGAAGGTGAGGATGTGCATAATTAATAAGATGTTATATTTACTTAATAAAAGATTAATTAGAGGTAATGACATAGTCAGAATTTATTAAAATTTAAGGGGGGCAAAAATAAAATTAAAAGTGTTAACACCTCAATCATATTTTTATAGTAGTATAGATATAGATAAAAAAATAATTAATAAGTGACCATGCATCTATCTTTTTGTTCAACTTCTAAATGTGCTTTAGCGTACGGGGCTCAGGTGGCTGCTCTATGGCGGGTATCTTCTCGGGGTTGATCTCAATACCTCTCTGGGTGATCATGAATCTAAGGTGTTTATCCGATTGGACCCTAAAAGTGCATTTAGCTAGGTTGAGCTTCATGTGGTAGCGCTGAAGGATGTAGAAGGCCTCATCAATGTCAGCTATATGGGTCGACTGTAAAACCCCATAAAATTTAAATACTATATGAAAAATGATGATAATAAATATATTATATAGTGATAAAAACATATTTTGATGTTTGAGTATGCTAGGGATTGATTTGAGATTAATCCAATGTATACATATGAATATAGGAGTGAAATCATGCACGGTATTTACGAGCTTGAATATGAAAAAAACGGCCAGTTAAAAGTTTTTATATTTTACACATTGATACAGTAAGAATTTGGAAATACTCAAAAGATAAAAGTTGTAGGACTTTTCAATAGCTTTCCAAAAATTCTTCGATCACCTCATTCTGAGGTCGGAGGAGAAAGTTATAGCCAAAATATCAAAGATTATTTTCCTAGTCATACTAGGTTTCCTAGTTCGGGTCAAACATGTTTGTTTCGGGTTTGTTTCTATAAATACATGTGTTTTTCACAAAAATTCTCTCTTTTTATCAAATCTCTGAACCCTAGTAGCCACCCTCTCCCCTCAAAAACCTTAGATCACTTTTTTGGTGAATTTTGAGAGCTTTGTGAAGCAATTATCGAGAAGAGGGCGAGTTTAATTGTCGGTTTTTGGCGAGGAAGAACTTGTTTTCTTGCATCGTTGAGTTTTTATAGCAGCGTTTGAGGCAAGATCATCTTCCTACAAACCCTTTCCTTAGTAAAGATTAAGTTTTTATTAATTATAATGATGAATCTCATGTTGAAGTGTAACCTCATGCTTTAAAAACATGATTTTTGAGGTTAAATCTTAATCTAATGATAGATATGAAGTTTATTTCTTGCTGTTTATATTAGTAACATGATCATGATCATTAAGGTTACTTTTAATTTTGTTTTTAACTTATTAATCATGTTCTAATCATGTTTAAAACCTAGATTTATTATTAATTGAGTTTTCATGTAAAAGAGAGATGTTTAAACCCTAGGTTTATGATACCTAAGTTCTGTAACATGTTTAAATAATTTTTCATCTCTGTTAATTATGTAGAATTTATCATGTTCAGTTAACCTTATGGACAAATTTCATGTTTTATTTGAGAAATTGATTAATTAGGATGTTAATCCTAATTAGATTAAATCAAAAATTTAATTTTTATGGAGATGATCTTCTATTATTTAATGTTTAAGTTTTAATATTGTTATATATATCATGATGATATAAATAAGTATTTAAATATAATTACAAATTATGCAAACCCGAAAACCTAAGAACTAGATATTTCTCTGGCCGGTCGACCGGCACCCTAGGGGCGGTCGATCGGTAAAGTCATGTGCGTGCACGTTGTGCACAATGCTCTGTTTGATCGACCGGCATCCTTAGGGCGGTCAACTGACCTGGGATATTTTTGACATGTAGTTTTGTTTCTTGCATTTTTTAATGCGATCGCGGGAATCGAGTCGTACGATGATACATGTACAATCATGGGTACACCTGAATAGTATTATAGCACACCACAAGTATTCTGAAAGGGGATTATGATGAATTTGTTTCGATTATACTTGAGATAAAGGTTGATTACACATTTATATACATGTTGGATATCGTTGATGAGCA